TGTTCAGCATGGGGGTGAGTAGAAAATGAAGGCTAATCATGTTTTGGGTGTACTATTCCTTTAAGAGGGAAGGAGTTGACAGTAGAGGTTGGTACTGAGGACAGAAAGATGCTCACAGACTAAAGCATCATAATTGCCTGCCACTAAAGATCTGCTTGCATCTCAAACCAACCAGTTTGTATTTTAGGCTTTTAAAATTAGGAAAAACTAAACAATTCATAAAGATGAAGCATGGATTCTCTTCTATATGGTATCCTTTGACATATAAAAACATGAAAATAAAACATTATTTGTAAGCTGATGAAAAAAAAGCTCTAAAAATGTATTTCTGCTTCTTTTAATGTCTTTCTGTTGTGAAAATTGTATTTAAATATTCTTTATATAAACGAATAAAGCTTCTAAGACAGCTTTTTTATTGCTACAGTATATTAGTTAGTTCTTTATATCATTTTTGAGCATTTAGGAGCCATTGTAGAGGGTCCAAATATCAACATGTGGCTTCGGATGAGCAGGATGCAGACCGCCTGGTTAGACTGATGTCAAACTTATAGGTATAGGTATCACATTTTAAAAAAAAAATAAAATTCAGTCTTTTTCTAATCATTATCCCAGAAAAGATGATGAAGAAGAAACCCTTTCTGATGCTGAAAGGATATCTGAGCGGTCTGCTGCCAAAGTTAAAAGCCACCGATTCTTTGAAGGACAGGCTGATAGCGGGGAAGTACGCGACGCCGGGGCCCGTCTTAATGTTGTTGAAGGCCGTACCCAGAGACTGACCGTTCCTGAGGACACAGAGAGGAAACGGTTCTGATACAGAGGCTCTGATCAGCAGCTGGTTACCTCAGATTCATGTCTAAACTCTGATTAGCTTAGCATAAAGACTGGAAACAAATGGAAACTGTTAGCATGCGCGCAGACTCACAGGCAGAAAGTGATGGTTCCCTCATCCAGGTCGATCAGACAGCTCACAATGTCTCCAGCTGCCCAAGACTGCAAAGAAAAAACACCCAACATGAACACCTAACCCACTCCTGACCCCCCACAGACACTCTCACAGGTTCCACGCCTCACCTTTCCGTAGTTGGTGGTTGTCACGTTCCACTTCCTCACCCGGTTCCCATCATAGGCGTAGGAGTCTGGAGTGTCCCCTACGCCTTCCTGAGGAGAAAATAGAGACCCTGGTGAACACTGAAACCCATGTCATCATCGTCATCATCACCATCATCACCATCATCACCTCTTGGTTGAAGCGACAGCTCAGTGTGCACCAGCCGATCTGCATCAGCCCCTGGGAGGAGATCAGAACCTCGTAGGCCCATTTCCCTGCAGAAACAGAACCAATTCAGTCCAGATGTTCTGTAGAGCCCGGTTCAGAGCGCCCAGACAGAGAGATGCTTTACCTTTAAACACACAGGTGGTGGCTCTGATGGAGCTGAAGTTACTGTGGCCGATCACCTGCAGGAAGTAAACATGATGTGAGACATTCTAGTACCGCCTGGAGCTTCCTTATATCCATTGGAGCCCGGCTCACCCCCAGCAGGTCATCATCCACAAACAGAAGACCTTCGAAGCCGCTGGTGTGATCCAGTACCACGGGCTGAGGACCCAGGCGGCCTTCTGCAGACTGATCTGAACACAGAGACGTCATCAGAATGTTCCTCTTCAGCTTTTCACACAAACTCAAACGGTCCATGATTTCTTCAGATTCTAACTACAGACATGGAAGGAAGGACTTGACCTTTACCTCTGCTTTCCTCAGAAGGTTCTTCCTCAGACAGAAGTTTCTCCAAGTGAGATCCCAGGTCCTGGAAACCAAGAGGCTTCCTGCACACCAACAGAGAACAGATAATCAGACATTAAGGAAACCCATGTCAGCACCAGAACCTCCTGCTAAAGGGCTGGTTATTCCCCCGCAGTGTGTCGCAGTGAGCTTTTCGCAAATATTTTTGATTTATGCCTAATATTGAAGTGTGGTCTCACAGGGTTAGGGTTAACCCTAACCCTGCAAGAGGGACAATAAGGAACTAGCTGTGGGTCTAGATACGGCCGAGGTGGTGAGTAAGTGGGGCAAGTTTGTGTGAAAACGAAGGAACATGAGGGCAAAAAAGGGCGGGGATCCAGGTGGGAAAAGGGTCCCAGCGTTCTCGCACACCTCGCTCTTCTAGCTGGTCCAACTTCATGATTTGTTTTCCACAATGGCGGTCATACAAACAAAACAAGCCAGCAAGGTACCAAACAGGAAATACGCATAGTGTTGAGCGGATGTAGATATGACCAATCAGAGGCCTACTGTCTGCGGTCACCTACAGTTTTGGAGAGGTGCAGCAGAGTGTCTGCGGCAGGGGCCCATTTGTATTCACTGTGACGCACACAGACGACCTGCTTTTTGAGTATAAACCAGCCTTAAGGCTTCGTTCACACTGCAGACAAATGTGCCCAAATTCAATTTTTTCTTGTCCTGCAGTGACTCTGAGATTCTTTCCCGACGGTGTGAACAGGCCAAGTAAAATGGAATCTGACTTTTTCTAATCCGAACTGGGCCACATTTGTATGTGGTTTTAATCCGACACCAGGTTGGATCTTTTTAGAATCTGTCTGAACTTCCTAGTGACCCGTATCAGATTTCACTCTGTACTGACATCGCAAGAAAAAAACCACAATTAAAATAAATATGGAGGAAAGTGAAGATTGGGGTGTACAGTGGAGGGACAACGAAATAATGGAGGTAATAAGTGGGCGGATACAAACACCAAAAAGAGTTGACTAGGATGCTGCAACCACACACTTCTCCTCAGAGATGTTACTGCCACTGCAGTATTTTTATTATACTTTTATGCGAGATAATCCACCTCAAAACATTTTTCAGTCCGTTTATCAAGACTACGATCCTGCCTTAAAATATTTCACGTTAGGAGGTGCACAGATCCCCGTATACCAACTGTGTGCTGTCACTGAGAATTCCCAGCAGCAGCAGTCTCAGGCCAGATTGTCACTTGTTTTTTTCCCCTTGTGTTCATGGCGGCTGTTCATATACGTAAAAACTAAGGGTGGAACGGTTCACAAAATCCACGGTTTTTTGTTTTTGGTTTGGTATATGTTGATTGTTAGGAAAATCTACTATGTCTTGTATAGTACTACGCGTGTTGCACAATTCTTGCACACTGTTGCACTTTTATCCACAACTTTCTTTCCGCCGTCATCGTAGGTCACTCTAAATGCAAAGGGCTCCCATACAGCAGACCTATAAAGTGCTGCTGGCGCGTCTTCCAACTCCTGTTCTTTCCTACTCACCATACCCACACAATTCTCCACAACTGATTTTTTTCTGCTACACCCGGCTACGCTGCTTCGCTTCTTCTTCTTCTTGTTTACTACTGGTGGTTGGCTTTGGTCGCAGTACCGCCACCTTCTGCTCTGGAGTGTAAATGCTTCGCCTATGAGAAAAAGGAGCAGCGCATGAACCGAACGCAACACACGCGAATCGAACCGAGACATTTGAACCGAACGGTTCGGACGGTTTTTATAAATCATCATTCCACTCCTAATAAAAACTGCATGCATCAGAATAATAAAAGCTAACATATTTTGCCGGCAGGTTTAAAGACCTCATGCACGCGCTGTTTTAAAGTTTCTGTTTGCATCGCTCATACAAGCTTCGTTTCAACAAGAAGATTTGCAATTTTTCCACTAGACTCACCCGGTAAGTGAAAATGGGGATGACCACATAGAACAGCGGTAAACATATCACCAGAATGATCGACAATTAGGAGGACCAATTATTTTGATGATCCACCCGGTAAAAAAAACATCCTCCTCCATACCTTCTGATTTATGCATTAATACACAGTTTCAGGGGATGATCAGAGCGCTCTGTATCAGCAGCGCTCTGTCTCCCTGCCAGCTTGCAGATCAGCTTCTCTGATTGGTTGCTTTGAGGAGCAAAACTTTAATTTTTCCAACTTATGAAATTTTGAACATTTGGGAAAAGTTTCCAGGGAAAAAAACAGGCCGTACAATTTTTTAAGTAGAGGCCATACAACGTACACATTGCTAGCTAAAAGCCTGCGGGCCGACTTCGTCGTCAACACAGGATGAATTTTACATTTGAAAAAAATGGCAACCTACAAAGGTTAAAAAATATAACTAAGGAGTTAAAACTTTTTTAGTAATTATGAGGTTTGATGAGATTTTCTCTATCAGACACTATTTTTAAGTTTCGACATTTTCAGGCAAATATGTTTAACTGGTAATGGATTCCTTTAGGTTTTTTAAAAGTGTATTTAATTCTACAGTAAAATTACTTCATAAAAAACCTAATGTTGGTTCAGGACAGGTCAGGAGTCTTTTGGAATTTTAGCAATTTGGGTTTAAAGTCACTCAGTGACACAAAGTGGACTCATTTCAATGTTGGACATAACTTGGATGACGGAGATGACGTGGCTCCAAACCACTGACGACTAAAAATAACCTGATAATATGTTAAAGATTTAAACTCCAAGGCTTAAATAAGACAGCGATACATTTATTAATATTGATAATGAATAAAAGAAGAGACTGGTGGCTAAAGCCAGAGGGCAAATTCAGACATAAGAAAAACAAATAGTTCTCTTCCTTTCTCTAAGCTCTCAGATGTTCCTGCTGGATATCAGAGCAGCTGACAGAATGGGTCTATCATTAGAACCGGGTCTGAAACATGAAGCTGGGCCTCAGAGATGAACGACATTCTGAGACACACTCTCTGAGAAACACACAGAGACACAAAGCCACAAAGACTACAGAGGAGCCTCTAGTTTTTAAATAATGACGGTTACGTACGTTGTTACTATCCAACACCATGACTACCTAAGCTCCTACTGATGCTGTTACTATGTGAAAGCATTACTATCTAAATTATTATTTTAAACCCATTACAATCCAAAATAGTTACTCCCAACACTGGCAAGATGTCAGACTAAACTTCATGTTATTATCCGCTGAAGCAGATAACTAAGGTTTTAACGGCACACAGGTTTAAACAGACCAATATTCTGAGGTTTGCTGTTTTCTAATTTGGAGTTCTGGCTCTGCTGGACTGAAAAAACAACAGAACTTTAGATCGGCAGGTTTTGTTCAGTACCTGAGAGAGGCGACAGTCTGTCCCTGTTTGGTGGAAGGAAACACATGATGCAGGTAGTCGCTCAGCAGCTTCTCATTCACGATACCTGAGAGACAAAGAGGAGAGAAGCTTCTTGAGACCTTCAACACCAAGTGAAACATCAATACCAAGCACCTGGAAGAACTCCCTAAAAACTTCAAATGATCCCACCTAAGGTGCCTACTTCCACTCCCTGCAGGAAGTGGCCATTCTAAGATAAAGAGCTCCATGACCAGGAAATGAGATGTCACCATGGATACCAGACTAAAACCGGTCAAACTTTTGTGCTTTGAAAACGGATGATTTTCACATGATCGGGTACGATCAGCGACCAGCTATTTTAAGCTGTTGGTGAAATTTTCTCTGAGCGGATGAGCATCTTTCTCCCACGCTTGTTTCTCCCATGTTTGTTTTTGTCAGAGTACCCAAAACAAGGGGATAAATGACCCAGACAACAGGAGGAAGAGGAGGCAGAATTCTGACCTCAGACAGTAGTGGCGGGGAATCAGTGCGAGAACAATAGAAGAGACCATCATAAACAGCGACCAGCCGTCTCCCCCACAGCAATAGATGGGAGGACAGCAAACCGGAGCAGGAAGATGAGGCAGCTCTAGAGGAGGGTGGAGGATCACAGCGCAGGTTTCGATAAGCGCGCTAAGGAAACGGCTAGCTAGGCTAATTGCGGAGGATCTAAGGAGCACGGTGAAGAACCTGTAACTAGTGCACAAGGAAACAAAACGCTGAGGTCGGTGGAGAGGTTACTGCTGACCGGGAGCAGGAGAGCAGTATTTTTGAGAAGCCCACCAGGGAGAATGAGTAGGGAGAGGCTACGGCTGGCCGAGGCTAGCCCATAAAAGCTAACTACTACAGGCGGAGGAATGACAGTGGGGGAATCAGAGGAGCCTGTGGGCAGACAGCGCAGCAGAGCGGGGAGAGAAGGCGACTGCTGGTCAGTGTCTCTGCTGGAGGTAGGATAATGAAACAGTCCCTAGCGCTAAAATAAAAAGTCATTTTTAAAAGCCACCTACACCCCCTGAAGAGCATTCCAGCTTCATCCTTTGTGAACATTATTTTCTCCAGCTTTCATTTTGATTAAAAAAAGCTCCTTTTCGCAGCCTCCTTCACCAAGACAGTGATCAGTTCATGATAGTTTCTCATCTCCTAGAATTCTGATACCTAATAATACAATGTATATGTGCATGAGACGGCAGTATTAAAGAATTAATGGATTTTATGCTGTGATTGGCCTCACAGCATCACAGCAATTTGATTCAGACCTGTAAGAAAAGGGACATCTAAAAATTAGACGGATGGTTAAACCATGAGGATGTCATTTTGTAACAGCACCATAAAAGGAGAACATGCTGCTTCGGGTTATAACTACATGACTTTATGCTGATGAACAATACTGTCTTTCTGCTCATTATCTGGACGCACAGAAAATAAGCTTTTATTAAGCTACTAGGAATAATGTCAAAATAGATTTACATGAAATGAGAGACTTAAAGATCCATAAATCACCAGCTCATGTTTCCTACAGTCCAGACATTCCTATACTCTATTTTACATAGTGATATTGCTATAATGAAACATTCCCTATGTATGATGCAGCCCTGCTTCAATGGTTCCCGGACCCTCGTCGTTCTTACCTGTGGATCTGGGTTTGTCCGTGTCCGAGGCCAGTCTGTAGTTCCTGCGGGTCAGAGCCGTAACACCTCCCTTTGTGCTCATCCTGACGGGAACTGGATTCACCGATCCATACACTGCTGATAGAAGAGAACCTCCATAATGAGCCTTCACTCAGTTCCTCAAAGAGCAGAACATCAATAGGAGTTAAGGTGGACCCAAAACTGATATCAAATTCAGCGATCTAAAGCCTCTTTCCCACTGAAATTAGCAGGTTAACGCAAGTTTTTCGGTATTTGGCTCTCTTCCCATTGGCAAAAAAAAGCAGGTCTGACCCATTCTGGTAAAAGAGCACAGGAGGCTCCAGCTGTGGATCTGGGTCAGGTATCCCTGCTATTAATCTGGTTCTGACCAGACCTGGATGAACCCTAACCTTTGCTTTAACAGATATCACTCAGCTCTAGAGAAAGCTGAATGAAGTGAAGGGAAAAGGGATTAATTGCTCCCTTTCAGCAATTAATGATCAGCACCAGGAGTCACAGACACAAACCAAGCAGACACTGTAAACCTGGAGGTCATTTTGACCTAAAGTGTTTCACACGCCACAGGCTTTTTCATGTCCCTTAACCCAAGACATCTATATATGTCTGGAGAAGCTTTGCTGATAAACAGAATAACCCAGATTATCATTTATTGTTTGTTTTCCATCATTCTTACAAGTGATTCAGCCAAAATTGATAAGTTTTTACCTGATTTTATAGCAAACTTGCTTCTTCTTTATTTATTTATCTTAACTGTAAGAAAACCAATTATGGGCAAACATAGCATATAAATAGATAGGGTTCTGTAGTCATCATTGACTCAGCAGAATTATTCATGATGCTGAATTTGATTATGTGAACATTATTATTATTACCATTGTTGTTATTATAGGTTATTACAGGAACAGTACTTGCAGTCATTTCAGTTAATGTGCCAGGGTTGGAAAAATGACCTGTTTAAATAAACTGACATGAGCTAAGCGACACAATATTAGTGAAATGTAATCTCTTCTGTTTTAATCTACTGAATGTAAAATTCTGAATAATGTCAAATGTTAGTTGTTGTTGTTAGCTGTAGCTGCAGTTCTAAACTGCTGAAATGATGCTAACTTGCTTCCTTAGCTCACCGCAGTGGTCGGTTTAACACCAGCTAACCGGTTCGGTTCTGGTTCTGGGTGTCAGTGAGATGAACGCGGGTTGGTGCCTCCGTCTCTCGGGTCGGTTTGGTTTCCTAGCAGTCTTTGAAGCTAACGGCAGGCTAAAAGCTAAAGCTAACAACCTAGCTATAGCAAACACTAACCCGCAGCTTCTCACCGTCCCGGGACTCTCCTCCTGTTGTGACCGGTTGCTGTAACCTAAACCCCGGCCAGCTGAAGATCTGTTAGCCGCTATTTGCAGCTGGAGCCTAATTTTCACAACAAACGTCAGACTACGGAGCGCTGCTAGGTTCAAAATAGAGTACTCAAATCCCGTTCCAGGAAACAACGCGAGAGCGCTCTTGAGTCAGAGATCACAGGTTGTTTTGTTTTGTTTTCTTAACCAGTGACTCCAATTGGGTAACCATCTCCTTTCAGAGGAAGAACTAAATTAGAAGTTACAAGCTAAAGCTGTAGTTTATGTTCATTTACTGTCTGAAACGCTCTATTAAACGAAATATCATACAGTCTGTGTATACAAAATGACAATACAAGTTGGGAAAGTCTAAGTCTGTAGAGATTTAATTAATAAAAAAATGTCAGAGGGATCAAAATGTAGCTACGAGGTCCACATGAAGACCAAGCATTGCACTCTCCAGCTTTCTGGACCTCTGAATGTATTAATAGACAAAGTGCAAGTGACTTCACTGTAACTGTATGCTCATCCAGAGGGAGGGAATTCTGCAGTCTGACTGGATGTAATCTGATGCTTTTCCTTTGATAGAAAAACTTTAACCAATCTCTCTTAAGGATTTGATTAATTGTCTTTGTAAAATGCTTAAGATGGCATTTGCTGTGAATTGAAGATATGAAAAAAAACTTCAATGATCACGAACATAATGACAAACCCAAATACCGACCAAATATCC